CTTGTGGGAGGCTTCTCTCATGTCCCCACATGAGGAGCTGAAGCTGACAGAGGGAGCTCATCCGTGCTCTCCCCAGATTCGAACCTCCGACCTGTTGGTCTTCAGTCCTGCCAGCACAAGGGTTTAACCCACTGCGCCACCAGGGGTAACATTATAGGACTAAACATCACCATGGATGCTAGGCTAGCATTACTAATGGACGCCACAAAGTTGAATTTAGAAATAGAAAAGAAAGAATTTGTGATTATTTTACTCACAGTGGTGAGACTTATATTCTCAAGGAATTGGAAAATAGTAACTAATCTCATGCTGGAAGCATGGTATGGGAAGGTATGGAACGTAGCCTTAAATGATAAACTATCAATGGAAATGAGGGTGTTCAGGGGGAAAGTAATATATCAGATTTTGATTCATACAGCTAGTTAGTAGCCAGCTGCATTAAATCACTACTGACTGAGAGGTCATGAGTTCGAAGCCAGCCAGGGTCAGAGTAAGCTCCCAACCATTAATTGTCTAGCTTGCTGTTGACCTATGCAGCCCGAAAGACAGTTGCATCTGTCAAGTAGGAAATTAAGGTACTGCTTTATACGGGGATGCTAATTTAGCTAATTTACAACACCATAAAACCTTCCAGCAGTGTAAGAATGACAAAGTATTTCATCAAGGACTCGGTGTCATAAGTGGATGGTGAAGTGACAGCTCCCCCTATGGCCGGAACCGAGCATACCCTCATGAAGCCGGAAAGCTGGAATGTTAAATTGCCTCTGTGTCTGTCTATATATGTTGTATGTCTAAATGGCATTGAATGCTTGCCATGTATATGTGCATTGTAATGTGCCCTGAGTCCCCTGCGGGGTGAGAAGGGCGGAATATAAAAACTATAAACAAACAAATAAATAAATAAATAAATAAATAAATAAATAACTGGTCATTTTTATTAAATATGTTTTAGAGAATGAAAAAGGATATGACATTTGTTTAATAGTTGACTCATAAATTTATGGCAAAGGAAATAATGCTCAAATCATGGCAGTCCTGAGGAGTCTGTCCACCCGCCATGCTCTGCTCCATGGAAGGAGAGAGATGGTGTATTCAGATAGTGGCAGATCTGCATGGGAGCAGTCTGGTCACTTTGGCCTTCTTTCTCAAGGGAAGAGGAAGAAGTGCACTTTTGGGGTCTTGGATTTTGTGCAGGGAGTCAGGTTCTGCTGTATGGAAAACAGAGGTCTGGTCCTTGGCACTGTTCTTAGGGAAAGAAGTTTTGGCATTTCAGCGTTTTGAAGTTATGGCGTTATGGAAGTTTTGGAACTATGCATTGGCAGGCTGCAGGAAAGCAGGGTCTGGCCTTACAGGTGTTTCTCCAAGGAGGGAGAAAAGGATATGGTAATATTTGGATGCATGTGGATGAATGTGTGTACATGTGTGTGAATGCTGAGTGAAAATGCAATCCCCCTTTGTTTGTTTGTTAACCAATGTAATTGTAAATCCAATGTAGTTGCATAGAATCTGTATGTCCAATGTCATTCTTTGTCTAAATATTTTCTGTAATCTGATATACCTTCTCACACTGGAAATTGCAATAAAAAGAATCTATGCTTCAAAGTMATTGAAAAGTCATTCATGACATAATACTTGTTCAGGCTTTGGCGGTAAGGTTATGTGTTCGTAAAATATTCATCGTTCCATGTTCTGTTTACACTGTAAGCTGTTAATGTATGTAAATAAGATTTTTAAAAACAGTCATGGCTCAATGCTATGGAATCATGGGAGTTGTAGGCACCCACACTCTTAGGTGAGATCTTTAGGCTTCTCTGCCAAAGAGAGCTGGCACCTCACCAAACTACGGTTCCCCTGATTCCATAACATTGAGCTGTGACAGGTCAAGTCATGTCAAACTCTATTGTTTCCAACAGCTCAATATATTTCAGGCCCTTCAGGCCTGTTTCCTGTTCTTGCAGCCTGTGTTTGAAGCCATTACTTCACTCTGTCCTACAGAAGAGCCAGCCCTTTCCTTTGAATCTTTTGCAAGAGCCAAATACGCAACACTTCTCAGGACTTAAGAAAAGAGCTACAGCTTTTGTGCACCACAAAATAACGAAGCAGGAAATAATTTTTGTACAGATATGAAGTGAAGGCCCATGACTGTGAGGGGAATGAATCTGTATTGCATGACCTTCTGGCTCCAGCTGCCTGGTATAGTAGAGTCTCGCTTATCCGACATAAACGGGCCAGCAGAACGTTGGATAAGCAAAAATGTTGGATAATAAGGAAATATTAAGGAAAATCCTATTAAACATCAAATTATGTTATGATTTTACAAATTAAGCACCAAAACATCATGTTTTACAACAAATCAACAGAAAAAGCAGTTCAATACACGGTAACGTTATGTAGTAATAATTACTGTATTTACAGATTTAGCACCAAAACATTGCAATGTATTGAAACAGCTGTGGACCTGGGTGGGAGGCAGGCTGCGTTGGATAATTCAGAACGTTGTATGAGTGAAGGTTGGATAAGCGAGACTACTGTAATTCCAATATTGCAACAGAGTCCTAGACAAGATCTCCATTTATTTTTATCCGTGCAGGTGCCATTGGGAACAAGCCAGCTGCTCTGTAAGTGTGTTTTGGAAAATTGAAATCTCCAGAACCTTTTGGAGATTTTACGATTTTTGGAAAGGGATGACTTTGTTAGAAGTCACAACCTTTTGAAAAATGATGCCATAATCTCTTGATAAAAGCATGATCTGTTAAGAGTCATAACCTTTTGAGAAAATGGCATTCACCAGCATACATATATGTATATATATTTGTGTGTATGTGTGTTCAACAGTTTCAGAAGTGTTCTTTTTAGTTGTCCAAGAAACATCTACTCTCCCTTAAAATATATTTTCTTTAAATCATGCTCTCAAGAGAAAAAAATAAGCAGACTTGTTTAAAAGTAACATGGTTGGTTGACTTACAAACTTCATGCATTCAGCATATAGGTGCTTTGCATATTAATCCAGTTACAAATACATGCATTTGAAATAGTTTCTCTGTGTGTAGGTATCAGAGGGCATCATTCTTATAATCAACAGTCCATAGTCCAAAGCATCTCCCTATTCTGAGAGTCTAATAGAGTTTCTGTCTAGTCTGAAAGTCCAATGAAGTCTCTAAGCATACTGTTCCTATTGAAGTCTAAACCGAACATCTGTTCCTATAGTCTTCTAAAGACATACAGTTCCTGCACTGAAGTCTGAAGCATACCTGTTTCTATGGGCCCTTCCACACATCTGAATACAATCCCACATGTTCTGCTTTGAACTGGAATATATGGAAGTGGGTACTCAGATAACCCAGTTCAAAGCAGATATTGTGAGATTTTCTGCCTTGGGTTAAATGGCTGTATGGAAGGGCCCTAAAATGAAGTCTGAGTTCTGAACAAACCCAGTTCTGATCACGTGGTCTGCAGCCCGCCTACGGCAGAGAGTTATTACTTTGACTGCCTTGTCTCGTGAGTATTTGCAGGAACGGTAATCCAACTTCAAGTATTTTATTTCATATATGGGACATCCATATATTTTAATCCAACGCTGTATAATAACACTATGTAACAAAATTTGCTCCTGGTTTGAAAGTGTTGTTTCCTGTTTAATTGTGCAGTACTTACTTTGAAGGTAGTTATTATACTCCAGAAACTTGGTTTTTGTGGCTGCCACACAATCCTATATTTCATAATATCAAGTCAGAATACACGGTACTCACATTTTCTACTTGACAGATGCAACTGTCTTTCGGGCTGCAAAGGTCGACAGCAAGCTATACAAATCGGTCAGAAGCTCACTCCAACCCGGGCCAGCTTCGAACTCATGGCCTCTCGGTCAATAGTGATCTTAATGCAGCTGACTCCCAGCCAGCTGCGCCACAGTCCCGGATTCGGGGGTTCCTGTCTCTAACCCAATATTTCTCAATCTGGGGGTCGCGAGGGGATACCAGAGGGGTCGCCAAAGACCATCAGAAAACAGTATTTTCTGTTGGTCATGGGGGTTCCGTGTGGGAACTTTGACCAAATTCTATCATTGGTGGGGTTCAGAATGCTCTTTGATTATAGATGAACTATAAATCCCTGCAACTACAACACCCAAATGTCAAGGTCTATTTTCTGCAAACCCCACCAGTGTTCACATATTGAGTATTTGTGCCAAGTTTGGTCCAGCTCAGTCAATGCTTGAGTCCACAGTGCTCTCTGGATGTTGGTGAACTACAACTCCCAAACTCAAAGTCAATGCCCAGCAAGCCCTTCTAGTATTTTGTGTTGGTCACTGGAGTCCTGTGTGCCACGTCATGGGGGTTCTGTGTGGGAAGTTTGACCCAATTCTATCATTTGGTGAGATTCAGAATGCACTTTGATTGTAGGTGAACGATAAATCTCAGCAACTACAACACCCAAATGTCAAGGTCTATATTCTGCAAACCCCACCATTTGGGCATATTGAGTATTTGTGCCAAGTTTGGTCCAGCTCAATCATTGCTTGAGTCCACAGTGCTCTCTGGATGTAAGTGAACTACAACTCCCAAACTTAAAGTCAATGCCCACCAAACCCTTCCAGTATTTTGTGTTGGTCATGGGAGTTCTGTGTGTCAAGTTTGGTTGAGTTCAGAATGCTCTTTGATTGTTGGTGAACTATAAATCCCAGCAACTACAACTCCCAAATGACAAAATCAATCCTCCCCCAACCCCACCAATATTCAAATTTGGGCATATCAGGTATTTGTGCCAGCGAATGGAAATACATCCTGCATATATGATATTTACATGCTGATTCCCAACAGTAGGCGGCATTAGGAAGGTTAAGAACCGCTGCTCTAACCTCAATGGATACAGGGGACCCATTGTAATCAAGCTAGTCTCCCCACCGCCATACGTCACGCTGTTCAGAGGCTCGAGGCTTTCTGGGAGTTGTAGTCTCTGCGGCGCCCTCGCACGAAAGAGACGCCTATGGCCGCGGGGCCAGAGAAACTCCATTTCCCATGCTGCACCTGTGCCTCCCTGAGAGGCCCGGGATAGCGCCCGGTTGAGCCGGACCCAGGTTCACCTAATGACAGAAAAGCGGGGGAAGCCATGCGAGTTGGCTCCTTTAAGGCCCTCCCTCCTCGAAGCCTTCAGTCTGTTCCGGCTTCTCGGCGAAGAGAGCGGGAGAGGCGCGGCTGAGCATGAGTCTGTGGGCGCGAGTGGGCATCCTGGGCACCTTGGCGTACTGCATGCACGGCTCCAGGGGAAGGGCCATGGCCGAGGCCCGCGGCAGCCCTTCAGGTGGGACAAGCGAGCGGCCCGAGCTCAAGCTGGTGCTCGTCCTCTTCCGCCACGGAGCCCGCACCCCGCTCAGGCCTATCCCGGGGGCCCGGCAGGTGAGCAAGCCGCGGGGAGGGCGGCGGGACTTCAACTCCCAGCATGCCCGGCGGCTGACCACCGTGGCGGGGGCTTCTGGGAGTTGGAGTCTTCAAGGCTGGAGGCTGTTCCACAGTGACTGAATGGCCAGGGCTCCATCCTGCTGCATGTGGAAGTAATGGGCAAACTGGATAGCAGGCATGGGCCAACGTGGGCCTTCCCCCCAGGTGGTTTGGACTCCAACTCCCACCATTCCTAACAGCCTCAGGCCCTTTCCTTCTCCCCCTGTATTATACAGACATGGGCCAACTTGGGCCTTCCCTCCAGGTGGTTTGGACTCCAACTCCCACCATTCCTAACAGCCTCAGGCCCTTTCCTTTTCCCCCTGTATTATACAGACATGGGCCAACTTGGGCCTTCCCTCCAGGTGGTTTGTACTTCAACTACCACCATTCCTAACAGCCTCAGGCCCTTTCCTCCTCCCCCCCCCCTGTATTATACAGACATGGGCCAACTTGGGCCTTCCCTCCAGGTGGTTTGGACTCCCAACTCCCACCATTCCTAACAGCCTCAGGCCCTTTCCTTTCCCCCCTCAGCCGCTCAGGGTTATCATAAGTTTATATTGATGCTGTTTATTTGGTTTGTTTGTTTTCATTAGGTTTTGTTTGGTTTGTTTTCATTATGTCATTGAATGTTTGCCACTTTTTCTTTGGAAACCACTCCGAGTCCCTTCGTGGAGATAGGGTGGGTTATAAATAAAGATTGTTGTTGTTGTTGTTACATATTATTATTATTAAGGTAAAGGTTTTCCCCTGACATTAAGTCCAGTCGTGTCTGACTCAGGGGGTTGGTGCTCATCTTCATTTCTAAGCCATTGACCGTAGACTTCTCCAAGGTCATGTGGCCAGCATGACTGCATGGAGCGCCGTTACCTTCCCGCCAGTGATACCTATCAATCTACTCACATTTGCATGTTTTTGAACTGCTAGGTTGGCAGAAGCTGGGGCTAACAGCGGGAGCTCACACCGCTCCCCGGATTTGAATCTGCAACCTTTCGGTTAACAAGTTTAGCAGCTCAGTGGTTTAACCCACTGTGTCACCGGGGGCTCCATATTATTATTATTGCTGCTTCTGCTTCTTTTTCTGCTGCTGCTGCTGCTTCCTCTTCTTCTTCTTCTTCTTGGTTGGCAGAAGCTGGGGCTAACAGCAGGAGCTCACACCGCTCCCTGGATTCGAACCTGCAACCTTTCGGTTAACAAGTTTAGCAGCTCAGTGGTTTAACTCACTGTGTCACTGGGGGCTCCATATTATTATTATTATTATTATTATTATTATTATTATTATTATTATTATTGCTGCTTCTTCTGCTTATGCTTCTTCTTCTTCTTCTTCTTCTTCTTATTATTATTATTGTGGCTACATTGCCAATATCTGCTGGATATTGGAGGAAGGTAGGTAGTTTCAGAAAAACATTTTTGTTTAATTAACTATTCTAAAGGCTTTGGCTGTGTGGATCATAAATTTTGGCAAGCACTTGGGTGGTATGGGGATACCAAGCCACCTTGTCTGTCTCGTGAGGAATCTGTATCGTGACCAAGTAGCAACAGTAAGAACTGACCATGGAACAACAGACTAGTTCAAGATTGGGAAGGGAGTATACTCACACCCAACCTATTCAACTTGAATGCAGAACAAATCGTGTGATGTGCGGGGCTTGATGAATACAAGGCTGGAGTCAAAATTGCTGGACGAAACATTAACAACCTTAGATATGCAGGTGATACCACTTTGGTGGCTGAAAACGAGGAGCTGAGGAGCCTTCTAACCAAGGTAAAAAAAGAAAGTGCAAAAGCTGGGTTGCAGTTAAACATAAAAAAACCCCCAAGATTATGGCAACCAGACCGACTGACAACTTGCAAATAGAGGGAGAAAACATGGAGGCAGTGACACACTTTGTATTTCTATGTGCAAAAATTACTGCAGATGCAGACTGCAGCCAGGAAACCAGAAGATTTTTACTTCTTGGAAGGAGAGCAATGAGCAATCTCGATAAAATAGTGAAGAGTAGAGACATCAAACTGGCAACGAAGATCCGCATAGTCAAAGCAATGGTATTTCCCGTAGCAACCTATTGATGTGAGAGCTGGACCATAAGGAAGGCTGAGCAAAGAAAGATAGATGCTTTTGAACTGCAGTGCTGGAGGAAAATTCTGGGAGTGCCTTGGACCTCAAGAAGATCATACCAGTCCATCCTCCAGGAAATAATGCCCGACTGCTCGCTGGAGAGAAGGATATTAGAGGCAAAAATGAAGTACTTTGGCCACATAATGAGAAGACAGGAAAACTTGGAGAGGATAATGATGCTGGGGGGGGGAGGGGGAAGAATTCACTAAAAAACTCTAAAATCAAGACAGTAAATAAAGAGCAACACTCAAAAAACAGGGCAATTCTAGACAAGAGTCAATCAGGGCCAGCTAACAACTCTCAACAAAGGATTCCTCCAGGCAGCAATCAGCCAGACTGAAGCTACAAGACCATTCAATGCTAATCAAGATGGCCAATTGCAACATTCACACTTGCCTCAAACTAACAAGAGTTCATTCTCCCACCCTGGACATTCCACAGATGTATAAACCCCACTTGCCTAGTTTCCAACAGATCTCACAACTTCTGAGGATGCCTGCCATAGATGTGGGTGAAATGTCAGGAGAGAATGCTTCTGGAACATGGTCATACAGCTCAGAAAACTCACAGCAACCCAGTGAAATCTGTGATGTTAGAGGAAGAAAGACAACTTTGGGCAGCATTGTTTTTTATTATTTGCCATCAAGCTGGTAATGTTTTGCTTCAGACAAATCAATTTATTTCAGCATATATTTCTGTGGAAAATGCTTCACTGCTTGCTTTATGGTTCTCAAGATGCTTGGTTACATGCCTCTTTAGCTCTCTCCCCCCCCCCCCCCCCAATGTTTTCAGCAGGCATCTAGATAAATAAAAACAGGTATGGTTTAATGGTTGGATTACAGCTCTGAAAAACATGGTTCAAATCCCTGCTTGGCTGTGGAAACTTGAACAAGTTACCATTTCTCAGCCTCAAAGAAAGGCAAAGTCAACCGCTCTCTGAACAAATCTTACCAGGAAAACTCCATAATAGGGCCACCATGGAAATGATTTAAAGGTTCATAAAAGGAACAGTTTTTGGAATTCTTCAGGCTAATCATGGTTAATACAGCTTCATATTAGGGTTATAGTTTTCCAGATGAGCTTGAACCATTTGGCACAGCAAAAAAAAATGGAACTCATTTGAAGAGCAGCAGAGGTAACTGAAGCTGTATTAAACCAACTTAGTTGGAAATGGGTGAGACTTACTTGGAGTAGACACATTCAGAATTGAACTCTGTACATACTTGTCCTCTGCCACAAGCCTCGCCAAAACTGCATTATGTGCACTGGTACAAAGGATCCAGAGGGTTGTTCTGTTCTTGTTCGGGTAAGCTCTCGGTACATAGTTCAAAGTGTTATAATGCCACACCTTGCTCCAGCAGGTTTAATATTTCTCCTCTTATGTTGCCAAGCATAAATGTTTGGCAATGCAGAAGCAAACATCTGTGGTGAAAGAAAATGTAAGCCGTTGCACAGCGGAGGGTAGACACTCCGTGTCATCATTGTGATATTATTGCAGTTTGTTTAATTGCTGCAATCTACAGTGACAGTCTTGTTTCCTGTATTGATCCTCAACACTCAGTACATCGACAAACTAGCATAGAAGTTATGAAACTCCTGTTTTGGATGGCAGGATTTGAGAAACTGAGGTCCAGCACACATCTTTCAAGCTTGGAGCTTTGATAGGTGGATTTGGCTTTTAAATACTTTTAATCTTTTAAACTCTGAATTTTGAAAATCTGTTAAATATGAAATTGTTATAATGTGAATTTGGTGTTCTGCGTTCAGTTGTCTGTCTTTGTTGCTTGTGTAAATGTACATTTGGTTTTATCTTTTGGTTTATGTTATTTTGCATTTTTATACAGCATTGAATGTTTGTCTCTCTATATGTTGTAAGTTGCCCTGAGTCCCTACTAGGGAGATAGGGCAGGATAGAAATAAAGTCTCATAGATTATACCTTTTTCCAAAAGGATATTTTGGGATGTTTGATGCATCACCAAACAGTGAACATTGGGAGCTACTGGCTGGCTTCCTTTGAGGTTCACTTGCAACCATGTGCGTTATTAGTAGGTGTGAATTTACACTAAATAGTTATTCACTTACACTTTCATTTTGATATTAACTCAATAGGTTAACTAATTGAGCATTCCCAATTTATGAATGCTCTACTTTTAATTTCAAGGAACCCATGCGGGGAGGGGGGTATTAATAGAATCATAGAGTTGAAAGAGATCTCGTGGGCCATCCAGTCCAACCCCATTCTGCCAAGAAGCAAGAAAATTGCATTCAAAGCATCCTCGACAGATGGCCATCCAGCCTCTGTTTAAAATCCTCCAAAGAAAGAGCCTCCATCACGGTCCTGGGCAGAATGTTCCACTTCTGAACATCTTTCACAGTTAGGAAGTTCTTACTAGTGTGTGGGGGGAATCTTCTTTTCTGTAGTTTGAAGACATTGTTCCCCGTCCTAGTCCCCGGGACAGTAGAAAACAAGCCTGCTCCCTCCTCCCTATGACTTCCTTTCATATATTTATGCATTGCTATCATGTCTCCTCTCAGCCTTCTCTTCTTCAGGCTACACATGCCCAGCTCTTTAAGCCACTCCTCATAGGGCTTGTTCTCCAGAGCCCTGATCATTTTAGTCACCCTCCTCTGGACACAATCCAGCTTGTCAATATCTGCCCAGAATTGGACACCGTATTCCAGGTGTGGTCTGACTAAGGCAGAATAGAGCGGTAGCATGACTTCCCTGTATCTAGACACTATACTCCTATTTATGCAGGCCAAAATCCTATAGGCATTTATCTCTAATAATACCATTTTAACTTTGCATCCAATTATACCATATAACCAAACTCTGTGCCTCACAAAATACCAAAAAGCCAAACTCTATATTGATTCTGTCTCTTTGTGTGGATGCACCCACATGTTCAGTAATATAATATTTGCTCGGGGTAAGAGTAAGCATCAGATCACATTGCCAGGTGTGGAAGTGTTGGCCTGTATTTTTACAAGACAGATACTTTACTGGGGCACTGTAATTATAAAGTGCCAAAGCATTGTAATTTATGCTTCTATGGTGTGCAAATTGTAATCTAGTGTCCCTGACCGAAATTTATGCTGGCCCTAACAGGCATAAACTCATTAAGTGCTGAGTGTTGACTTGCATAAATTATTGCTATTCTAACTTGGATAACCAAGTTGGCAAATGGGTTGTATTTGATGGCTGTACAGTATTCATTGGGGGTGCACATAGACTGTAGAATTAATGTAGTTTGACACCGCTTTAAGTGCCATGACTCAATGCAATGGAATCATGGGAACTGTAGCTGTACTAGGTTTTTAGCTTTCTATGCCAGAGTGCTGATGCCTCACCAAACTACAATTAAAGTGGTGCCAAACTGTAGGTGCACCCCAGGATGTTCCTGTCTTGAGCCCTAAATGACACTGGGTTGGGGAAGTCATTTGCAATGAGTGGGAGAAGGCCAGTGTTATGGACTTGAACAGACTGAACCAGGAGGTATGCAGGTGTGTTTCTGAAGGGGATGAGAGCTGTCTTCGTGTTACTGAGGACAGGAAATGTAGCAATATAACTTGGTTTCTGCACCTGCAACTCCAGAACTGCCTTGGGCTATTAATGGCAGATTCATGATCAAGTATCAACATGGGGGTTCTGTACTTTACAAAGAGGTAGAAATACCACAATCCTATATTAGTGTGTGCTTTCCAATGTCCTTCAGAAGAATGTGCTTGTCACAGAGGATATCTTTCCTTAGCTCGCTCTCAGTAGTAATGTTTTCTTAAGCTCATTGCAACAAAAGGAATTCTCCATAAGGTCCTTTTTCTGATTCAGGTTTTAGGGTCTTGTGACCTTTTATGTATTATTGAACTGTAACTTTGATCAGCCCTATTCACAATGTTGTTTGAGACAGTGAAGTATTGTAATCTAGCAGTATGTGGAAGGCTTCCATGCAAACAATAGAGCTCCATCCTAGTTGTTTACATCTTTTTTGGTCTCTAATGAATATTTCTGATCTTGTTGCTGGAACAGGTGGAATGGAGCCCTTCTCTCCTGGAGATTCCCGCTCAGACAGAGCTTGACTACACAGTAACAGATCTTACTGGTGGACCAAAGCCCTTTTCGCCTTACGAAGAAAACTACCGAAAAATTACAATGAAGGTGAGGTAAATGTGCTTGCTGTACAAACATTGGTTCTTGCTTTTTCTCTTTCAAGAATCTTAAAGAGCTCTTTCTCCCCCTTTTCCCAGGGCGGTGTGTTTGCAGGTCAGCTGACAAAAGTAGGCATGCAGCAGGTCTTTGCATTGGGAGAACGGCTAAGGAAACGATACATCAAGGAGACCAACTTCCTCTCGCCAGCATTTAAACCGTCCGAGGTCTTGTGAGTTTCTTAATGGTATCAGTTTCCTTTCTAACAGCTTTGTGTTTTTCTTCCGGTGTCTGTTTGCTCTTGCTCTCCACCACAACAGCCCTGATATACGTCCTGTCTGTTTTCATTTTCCCCCTTCCATAACCTGATATCTCTAGGTGTTGTGCAAATCTATATAAATAAAAATTTAATGTTCATTTGTGGGATTAACATAACTCAAAAACCACTGGACAAATTGCCACCAAATTTGGCCACAAGACACCCACTAAACCATAATTTAAAAATGATTTTGTCATTTGGGAGTTGTAGTTGCTGGGATTTATAGTTCATCTACAATCAAAGAGCATTCTGAACTCCACCAACAATGGAATTGAACTAAACGTGGCACACAGGACTCCCATGACCAACAGAAAACACTAGAAGGGTTTGGTGGGCATTGACTTTGAGTTTGGGAGTTGTAGTTGACCTACATCCAGAGAGCACTGTGGACTCAAACAATGACGGATCTGGACCAAACTTGGCACGAATATTCCATATGCCCAAATATGAACACAGATGGGAGTTTGGGGAAAATAGACCTTGACATTTGGGAGTTGTAGTTAATACTGTTCACCCACAAGCATGAAGAAAATACATATATTGGAAACCAACACTTTCGCATTACTTTTCCAGATCACCAAACTGGGCCACAGCAACACGTAGCAGGGGACGGCTAGTACAAAATAGAAACAATACAGCAATTGATAGAAACAGTGCATAATAAAATTAGCAGAGTTAAGAACAGTGTAATATATGCAACCAAAATAAAACTAGCAGCTAAATGATGTAGAATTATTGACATTTCTTAAAATGCCCAGGAAAAGCAAAAAAGAAAAGTTTGTTTGGCACATAGTGAAGAACCAAGACCAGTTTCTCTGGGCAGCATTTCACAAATGAGGTGCGACCACTGAAAAAGTCCTGTCTCTTGTAGTGACGCAGATTAAGACTTTGGACAAGTACCTTCAGATGGTTCAATATGGAGAAGATCCAGACTAGTGTGTCCATCTCATACATTATGTTTATAGAATTATAGAGTTGGAGTGGACCTCAAGGGTCAGTCCAACCCCTGGCTGACACAGGAAACTACAACTAAGGCAGCACTAAGAATCTGCATCCTGCACAAAGGAGTGACCACCATGTTTGTCCTTTCACAGAGCTTGGTGTGGACGGGTGATGCCGAGCTGCTGATAGTCTGTAACAGTGAAGACCTCTTTGTCAGGTTGCACACTGAGTTGTGGCCATTTGTCTGCTCCATTTAATTGGCTACCTTCTGTCTTTCAGTGTCCGATCCAGTAATATTGTTCGGAATCTGGAATCCACGCGATGTTTGCTGGCTGGGCTGTTCCAACAACAGAAAGAAGGTTAGTGACAGGAGAGTACTTCGCTGCTCTTTTCTTGGTTCTGGTTTCTGTGACCTCACATGTTATTTTCAAGATGGGTGCAAACCTTGAAATGTTGAATCGCAGCTCTCAGCATTCCTCGCCATGGCTGGTGATGACTAGGGCTGCTGCAATTACTGTGCCACAATGTCTCGAGGGCTGCACATTTTCCACTTCTGTTGAAGTAGACTTCCTTCTATTCAGTCCTTTTTGTTAGTTGCTGTCAAGTTCACTTCAACATATGGTGACCCTATAAATGAGAGACATCCATGGCAACCTGCTCAAGTCTTGAAGACTCAGGGCCATGGCTTCTTTGGTTGAGTCTATCCATCTGGGATGCAATCTTCCTCAACTCCTATTACTCTCTACCTTATCAAGCATTATTGTCTTTTTTTGGTGAGTCATGCCTTCTCATGATATAACCAAAGCATGCCGGTTTCAGTTTAGTCAGCCCTGTTTGTGTTAAAGCATTCTCTAAGGTTATTATGTCAGGATAGGGAAATTGTGGAGGTCTGAGGACCAGGGTAAGAACCCAGCCTGCCAGGGGCCACATTCTTTTAATAGCAATGGTAGTTTTAAAAAGTGCAAATCTACTTTAAAATGAGTTGCAAGTTCTTTGCACACCTTGTTTTAGAGTAGTGGTTCTCAACCTGTGGATCCCCAGATATTTTGGCCTTCAACTCCCAGAAATCCTAACAGCTAGTAAAGTGGCTGGAAATTCTGGGAGTTGTAGGCCAAAACACCCGGAGACACACAGGTTGAGAACCACTGTTTTAGCGAAAATATTTGAGATGTGACTGTCACCAAATTGTTAGCAGAGATGGCAAAAATATGTGGGGAGTGGGATGCATAGGGCCAGTTTGTTGTTGTCAACTCCTTGGTCGTCTTAGTGGGTGACCTGTGACTAGAACTGGACAAGGGGAGTGTGTCCCTGCTGGTTCTCCATGATATTCTTCTGGACTACTTTGCTGAGATGGGACTTGAAGGCACTGGAGATTCTGTCTTGTTTTGATTTAAATATGATTTAAAAAATGAGCAATGAGAAAAAGATTGAAGTACTGAACTTTCAGGTAAGCAAACAAACATCCACCAACAGATGGCACCTTCATATGGCTCAGGAGTTAATAGCATGGCAGCTGAGGATGATAATTTACAGCAACATTCTGAAACTTGGTACCCTCTGGTTTGTTTTGGACTTATACCTCCCATAGTCTGAGCTAAACATAACCAATGGTGTGGGATAATTAGAATTAAAAGTCTGAAGAATCTGATTAAAGAAGGCTGACATACACAGTCAACATAATTGACTTCAAAGGAACCTTGGCTGTTTTTTTTTGTGCCCAATATTGCACCAAGGCAAACATCAGGAATGTTGTCATTAGACTACTACTTCATGAGCCAGGGCTGATGGGATTTATAGTGAAAAAAACACCTGAAGGACCACTTTTGTTGGAAGTTTAATTGTTACGTAAGTGGGCTTATTAGCAAATGACCCTCTCCATAAATGTAGAGCAGAGTGACTTATTAGCAGCAGCGTGACCCAGCACCAGTAGCCAAAGTGATAAAAAGAACAAAAACACACAGACCAATGTTACATCTTCCTTAGAAGGCTTTTCTTTATAGTAAAATAATATGGTTGCACTATTTACAAGAACTAGGTTTCCATAACACAAATAAAGTTCTTTATACTGCCTTCTTTGCTTCCACACTGGGCTTATTTCTCATGCAGATAAACAGCTTCACTCTCAGAGAGCCCCCTCTCACACTGAACTTACTCAGGAGCTTCAGGCAGTAACTTAACACACAGCAGCTTTACACACAGGGCCTTCAACCTGGGATTTCTCTCACCGAAGTTTCTCACAGACAAAAGTTTACCTCACACTGTGAGGCCTTCTCTAACAGACTAAGGCCTATCTCACACTGTGAGACCTTCTCACAGACTGAGACCTTTCTCCCACTGAGGCAAACTAACACAGGCCTGCTAAGCTACAAGCACATCTGCTTATATAGAACTGCAGCTTTTACTGAGTCATTGCATCCATTTAACCCTTTCAGTATTTGACTCACATTTTTGAAATTTAAAATACCTAGTTAATTTTTAATATTTCTGACATTAATGCCTTGCTGTTGCTTCAGGAATTATGGATAGTGGAAGCAGGTATCCAGCATTTTTTTTCGTTTTGACTGGTCAAACTGTTCCAACCATCAGTCTCCTCTCAAAACTGTATGATCTGTGATCCACCTCTAATAGCATCATAGGCAACTGGTTGATGTTTGAAAAGACCTAAAAGGGAAGTAAACATCATATTCACGAAGTGAGACTATAGCAAAGAAAAGGAAGAACTAAACATCAAGTGAAACTGGTGTAAAGGTTCATTGTTGAGATTAAGATGCTTGTTAAATGTAAATGCATTAATGCTCCTAAGGAGTTTCTGCAGAACCACAGTTCCTTACAGAAGTTAGTGCTTCTGTGCCTCAAAGCTTATAAAACATAATTATTGGGAAACTACCGGGAAAGGCAGAATCCTCTGGGTTTAACTCTTGTTCCATAAAGTCATGTATTTACAATGGTGGTGGTAGTAGTTGCTAATGGTTTTGATTAGGATAATAGTATGCTGTGGTGTAAATTAATTTACAGGGGAAAGAATCATATAAGTCATTATTGGTATGAGCTGAATATATCACCAGCAAGTGTTTGAAGGCATGTGTTAATAAGTGGTATACTTAACTTGGAATTGAGCACAGTGGGGCCATTCCCTTATTAGTTTATAGCCATGATTTAATGTTGGCTGGGAGTAGAAATGTAATTGAAGTAGAGACTTGTATGCTTTCAAGTGGAGATGAAGTTCTCTAATGAGCCTTGCAGAAATGATGGTAGAGATGGGGAGGAGGTTGGCCTAACACTAAAATCCAGTATGTGGCTATAAGAGTATAAATGATTTTAAATTGGAGTGAAGCGCAAGATGTGTTAGACCTATTTCTAACATCTGAAGGTTTAGAACATTAATTCTGAGTTTATTAGAATGAAATGTTTTTGTCTGTCAACCAGGACCTATTACCATAGTTACAGACGAAGCAGAATCAGAAATACTTTATCCCAACCCAATGAACTGCAAGAGGTTGAGACATATGAACCGGTAAGATACCATTGTGCGGTGCCATTATGCTCACAGAAGGCGCAGAAGTATGTTCAAACTGAATTCACAAAAGCTTTCCAAACAGGGTATCCTCCAAAATTCCTAATCCAGTTATATTTCTGTGGTATGGAAAAGATAACGCTTGAAAGTCATAGAAATTTGGGGAACTATCACATTAGTATCCACCTAATTTAGAAATCTTATATTGAATGAAGGAGCCATGAGGCCAAGAGCCTATTTTTAAAACAGTACCTTTGAACTATTATACTTCTATAAGAATTAGATTTATAGTGGTTTTAGTTTTAATATAGGCACAGAGATATTCTGCTATATAGCCATGGGTATCTTGTTACAATGGCAATTTAATGATTTGTTCTGCAATATAGAATCATAGAATTAGAAGAGACCTCATGGGCCTTCCAGTCCAACCCCCTGCCAAAAAGCAGGAAAACTGCATTGAAAGCACCCTAACAGATAGCCATCCAGCCTGTTTAAAAGCTCCAAAAAAAGGAGCCTCCACCACACCCTGGAGCAGAGAGTTTCTGAGTATTGAACAGTACTCATAGTTAGACAGTTCTTCCTAATGTTCAGGTGGAATCTCCTGTCCTGTAGTTTGAAGCCATTGTTCCGCGTCCTAATCTCCAGGACAGCAGAAAACAAGCCTGCTCCCTCCTTCCTATGACATTCCCTCACATATTTATACATGGCTATCATGTCTCCTCTCAGTCTTCTCTTCAGCGGGCTAAATATGCCCAGCTCTTTAAGCCGCTCCTCATAAGGCTTGTTCTCCAGACCCTTGATCATTTTAGTTGCCCTCCTCTGGACATATTCCAGCTTGTCAACTTTTCCCTTAAATTACAGTGCCCAGAATTGGACACAGTGTGACACCAGGTGTGGTCTGACCAAGGAAGAATAAAGGGATGGCATGATTTCCCTGGATCTAGACCAGGGGTCCTCAAACTTTTTAAACAGAGGGTCAGGTCACAGTCCCTCAAACTATTGGAGGGCCGGATTATAATTCGAAAAAAGCATGAATGAATTCCTATGCACACTGCACAGATCTTATTTTTAAACCAAAAATTACTTTAAAACAATACAATAATAAAAAAAAACAATTTTAACAAATATAAACTTATTAGTATTTCAATAGGAAGTGTGAGCCTGCTTTTGGCTGATGAGGTAGGATTGTTGTTGATGTTGTGTGCTTTCAAGTCGTTTCAGACTTAGGTTGACCCTGAGTGAGGGCCGGGTAAATGACCTTGGAGGGCCGCATCCAGCCCCCGGGCCTTAGTTTGAGGATCCCTGATCTAGACTCTAAGCTTCTATTGATGCAGGCCAAAATCCCATTGGCTTTTTTGCTGCCGCATCACATTGTTGGCTCATGTTTAACTTGTTGTCCATGAGGATTCCAAGATCTTTTTTACATGTACTGCTGTCAATCCAGCCCGCCCTGCTTCCCCCCGCCCCACCCATTCTGCATTTCATGTTTTCTTCCTAAGTGAAGTATCTTGCACTTGTCCCTATTGAACTTTATTTTGTTAGTTTTGGCCCTTCTCTCTAATCTGTTAAGATCGTTTTGAATTCTGCTCCTGTCTTCTGGAGTATTGCTATCCCTCCCAATTTGGTGTCGTCTGCAAACTTAATGATCATGCCTTCTAAACCTTCATCTAAGTCTTTAATAAAGATGTTCAACAGGACCGGGCCCAGGACAGGACCCAGCAGCACTCCACTCATCACATCTTTCCAGGATGAAGATGAAGCATTATGCGCACCCGTTGGGTTCGCTCACAACCAATTACAGATCCACCTAATTGTAGTTTTGCCTAGCCCACATGGGAGTCATTTGCTTGCCAGAAGGTCATGGGGGACCTTGTTGAAGGCCTTACTGTAATCCAGATACACTACAGCCACAGCGTTCCTTTCATCTATGCAGCTTGTAACTCTATTGCAAAAAGAGATCAGTCTGACATGACTTGTTTTTGATAAATCCATGTTAACTTTTAGCGATGACTGCATTCCTTCCCAAGTGTTTGCAGAACACTTCTTTAATAATCTTTTCCAGAGTCTTGCCTAGTATCGACATGAAGCTGACTTAACTTTTTGTTTAGCTTAGGCGATCCCTCGTTGGACGAGTAAGATGGTCTTCCATTATGGGTTTCCTTGTGAGTCCGCATGTGGCTGTGGAGCCCTATTCTTGCTCTGCATCTTCTTCCGCAGTGTGGGCATTGGTTTCCAGGTGGAAGGCAGTCCCAGTCGGGGTTGGCTTGACGCGCCTTCCTCCTAGCACGTTTCACTCTTTCACCCTCCACTCGTGCCTCCTCGAGTGGAGGGTGACTGGACGGTAATTGTTTGGGTCATCCTTTTTTCCCTTCTTGAAGGTAGGGACCACTTTTGCCCTCCTCCAATCTGCTGGGACTTGTCCAATCCTCCAAGAACTCTCAAATATGATTGCCAGTGGTTCCGAAATGATTTCCCCTAGTTCCCTCAATACTCTTGGGTATAGTAGATCTGGCCCTGGAGACTTGAATTCGTTTACAGCGGCCAGGTATTCCTGGATGACTCGCTTCCCTGTTTGGGGTTAGATTTCCCCTCATCCTTCATCCATTCCATGTTGCTGAAGTTGAGGATGGCTTTCTTTTTGTGAGAAGACTGAGGCAAAGAAGGCATTAAGTAGTTCTGCCTTTTCCCTATCCCCTCTCAGCCTTCTCTATTTCTGCCCCTGCCTTATGGAATTCCTTGCCTCCCTATTTGAGAGCCATGTGTGACTTCTACCATCAGTGGAGGTCGCCACAACCATCCCAACGCGATTTGCTCTATATGCTGGGTCCAAGGGAAGTGCACTTGGAAAGCACCAGACGCAGGGCCTTCTCTATTTCTGCCCCTGCCTTATGGAATTCCTTGCCTCCCTATTTGAGAGCCATGCGTGACTTAGGGCATTTTATCCTAGCACTTAAGACCTGGCTTTTTACTAGAGCATTTGACCCATGTTAATTTTAATTTTTGTATGTATGTGTTTTATCCTGTATAATTTCTGCTATGTAAGATGATGATGATTAACCCATCTTCTCCTTGCAGAGGCCCTATTGCCTCCTTGTTCTGGTTGGGCTTTTTGCAACTTTTTCTGAAATTTACTGTTATCTCCATGTTGTGATTTTTTTTTCCTGCTAAGTGCATACTATATTTATTTCTTACTACAGGTTGTATATCCCTTAGCCAAAATACTATTTTCTTCAGATTTTGGAATGCTTGTATTTTTTTAAATGTATAACGAGATGTCTTGGATATTTACACCTTTTCCTATTTCACAGCTCCTCACCCAAAGCTGCTTTGGGTCCTGTGAGGGAGAAAAGCAGGATATAAATAAAGAATTATTATTCTTTGAAACACAACAAGATGAGTCCACAGCAAACAAGAACACTCTGTTGGCTGTTGTATTGGATCACACGTCGGACACTTCCCAAGTGTCTAGGACTGTGTGATGTATCGGTGAATGTGTGCAGATCCCAATAAAGTGGCCTTCTGCAGCAGGCAGATGGTAATTTTGTCAGCGCCAATTGTGTTTAAGTGCAGGCCAAGGTCTTTAGGCACTGCATCCAGTGTGCCGATCACCACTGAGACCACCTTTACTGGCTTGTACCAAAGTCTTTGCAGTTTGATCTTTAAATCCTCATATAGTATCAGATTTTCCAGTTGTTTTTCTTCAATCCTGCTGGGATTGCAACATCGACAATCCATATTTTGTTTTTTAACACAATCATGAGGTCAGGGGTATTGTACTCCAAAACTCTGTCTGAATTCAGAAGTACCAGAGTAGTCTGACATGTTCATTTTCCGTAACCTTTTCAGGCTTGTAATCCCACCAGTTCTTTGTCACAGGCAGATGGTATTTGAGGCACAAGTTCCAATGAATCATCTGAGCAACAGTGTTATGCCTCTGCTTGTAGTCTGTCTGCACGATCTTCTTGCAGAATTATTATTATTACTATTATTATTGCTTCTGTCACTAAGAAAGCCTGCTTTGATGTCAGTGCCAGATGGCATTTTTTTGGTTGTGGAAAAGTGAACTATCTCAGTAGCTGACTTGTCACATACAGGACAGATTTATTGTACTATCCAGCTCACAAGGCATTTTCTGATTTTCTAACAATAAATCCCTGGATATGTTATGTTAGCCAATAGGCTGCCAGAGCCCAATACTGCTTTCTTTGACTGCAAGGTCTCCCTATCTTATCTCCCCATATCTAAGAAAGGCTCTCTTTCACTGGGCAATTTTCAGTAATAACTTGAAGCATTTTGTTTTCCTTGACAGAGAGGGGTTAGCTAATGCACAATTACAGCCAGGCATTTCTGAAGACCTGAACACCATCAAACAGAAGATGGGCATCGGTGATGAAAATGCTGTGGATTTTTTTCTTCTGTTCGACAACATCTTTGCAGAACAGGTATGTAGTACCTTCATAGAAGTAGTTTGTTTTCTTTACTTAGCTGAGCAGTATGAACAAGCTGTGGTAGAAAATTTTCCCAGTAGAACCAGGCCATTGCAAAATCTGTGAAACAAGGGAAAAGTTTGTACCTTCTCGTGTTTTGATCCTATGTGCAACCATAGTGCTCTCTGGTGGCGTAGCGGGATAAACCACTTAGCTGAACTTGCTAAATGGTTTGAATCCGGGAAGCGGGGTGAGCTCCTGCTCTTTACCCAGCTCCTGCTAACCTAGCAGTTCAAAAACATGCAAATGTCAGTAGATCAGAAGGTACTGCTTCTGCAGAAAGATAATGGTGCTCCATGTAGTCATGCAGGCCTCATGACATAGAAGGTATCTACGGATAACGGCAGCTCTTTGGCTTAGAAACCTTTACCTTTTACATGTCAACCATAACCAACTTTTCAGTTTACATAATCACACTAGTTTACATTCATGTCTAGCCATCCTTCAATAGCTTTCTTATGTATTTTCCATTGCCTAGTTAAAAGCGCAATTTCTTGAGTAATGATGCTCTAGAGCAGGCATGGGCAAACCTTGGCAACTCCCACAATTCCTAACAGCCGGTAAGCTGGTTGGAATTTCTTGAAGTCCAAAACACCTGGAGGGCCAAAGTTTGCCCATGCCTGCTCTACAGTGTACTGGTGGTATTGGAAATGTTATGCCCCCAGACCATATGGCTCTTCTCTATAGACACTATCTATGCAGTATGGGACCAAATTCTGCAGAAGCAGTTTATGCAACAATAAGTATCTGCCAGGCCCAATTCTGTCTCTCAGTGAAGCTTCTCCACCATTCTTGACCTCATTGAGGACTTTCAGAGATAATTTTACAAACCACCCTTGCAATGTCACTGTTCAGCATGCTGGGCCTGTACCTGTTACACCTTATACTAGTACTTCTTTCCTTTAGGACAGTTCTCAATCTGTGGGTCCCCAGGTATTTTGGCCTACAACTCCCAGAAATCCCAGCCAGTTTACCAGCTGTTAGGATTTCTGGGCTTGAAGGCCAAAGCATCTGGGGACCCACAGGTTGAGAACCACTGCTTTAGGAAATAACACATCCACTTATGTTTTGCCATCTCTAGCAGATTCTCCACACATACGCTACTGCTGTCCTTCTGATCCCCTTTTACCTGTTAGAGCAGTAACATTTGCATTCACATACAGTATATGGGCATGAGTTTATACTCAAAGAGGAAATGATTCAATCTCTTATTAAACAAAACATAGGAGTGTGGCTCTCCAGATACTACAATTTCCATCGTGTCTAGCATAGGCCCCAAAATATGGCCTTGAACTTGATGGAAGCCCGATTTGAGGCTCGTCTCCTTTCCATTAACCTCTTTCCCAGGCTTTTTCTTCACACTATATTATTTCAGGCACATGATCTACCGAGCTGTCCTGTTTTGAAGAGTTTTCTTCAGATTATTGAACAGAGGGCTGTGGACTTGCTGCTTTACATCACAAAACAAAATTTAAGGTGAGTAGGTCTAGTGAGAGGGAAGTGCGAAGACCTTAAGTGCAAAATTTAGATGCAGAATCTAATAACAGAATGCAAAGCGCAATCCTGAATTAAATATATTTCTAGCATGTACTTTTATTAATTTTCATTTTTAAATCAACCCCACATTCTCCAAACGAGATAAACTCAAGCTAAACTGCTTAAGATGTTGTGGTGTATGACATTCACGCTTTTGAAGAAAAATATAAAATTCTTTCCCCCTCTGTAGGGAGACTCTTCAAATGTCAGTTGGACCTCTTCTCTATGCTATAGAGGAGAACATTAGGGGAGCAATAAATCCTCCTTCTCCTGAGATCAAGGCCAGGTAGGAAGACTGTGCTGTTTTTTTTTCTCTCTTGCAGTCTCCAGAAATGCTCTGTTAAGTACAGCTCATTTTAATAAGGACAAGCTGGTGGAAATACCATGCTACAATCAGACGGGAGAAAATAGATAAACCTTGAGAGTACAATCATTTGTGACTAGAAAGAAGGGGGATTAAAAAACTTTAAAAAGTAATACTAAGGAAATAGAAAAAATAGTGACGACTTTTAATACTTCACATTCAAACATAATAGCCACCTTGTATAAACCAAAGGCTTGTGTAATTCCATTGTTTTGTTCTCACAGTGATGAATCACTAAGGTGGTGGATGTGAGGCTGTGGGGATTGCAGCAACTGGAATTCCGAAGGATAGCGTTTTTGGTATTGGAAATAGCCTTACTGGCCATGAATTTATCAAATTCCCTTTTAATAGTGCCCAAGTTGCAAAAACTTACAAGAGTGTTTCTCAAACTGTACTCTTCAAGGTGTTTTGGACTTTAGCTCCCAGAAATCTCAGCCAGTTTACCAGCTGTTAGAAATTATGGGAACTGAAGTCCAAAACATCTAGAAGAAGCATGGTTTGAGAAAATCTGACTTTATAGTAACTAATTCTGTACTTTAAGGAACTTTTTCTTCATTCCAAGAGAACAAACGATTTCTCCAACAACAGGATATATATGCTGTCATGTCTTAGAGAAGAGATTCTAAATTGAATTCTTTACCGAGGAAAGGCCATTTGATAGTTTAAGCATGACTTCATCTTTGAATGCATGTTATACAGGTGGTGTCGGATGAACAAGCATGATGAGGCATTTGTATGCAAGATCCAAAGACACCCATTCAATTGAATTGTTCTTGATTTGTTGAAGAAACCTGCCTGTAAGAAAAGATATTATGTAAATAGAAAACGTAGCCAAGATAAATAATTTATGTGGTGGATGTTTGTCTGTGGCTAACCTGAAATTGAATTATGATTATCTTGGTGTTGCCTTAGGAAGCTCATTCTGTATGCTGTCCACGATGTCACCCTTTTTCCACTGCTGATAGCTCTGGGAGTCTTTAATTCCAAGTGGCCTCCATATGCTGCAGACGTGACCCTGGAGCTGTACCAGCAATCCAAGGACTGGTTTATACGGTTGACCTATAATGGAGAGGTATGGTCTTGCTTGACATTAGGCAGACTGTGAGTATCCAACTCAGGCTTATGCTTCACCTGAACAGTTGGAAAATACGCATACAACATCAAGCAGCTTACTGAAGCTGACCCACAGGATGTTTAAATAACTACCTAGCTTCAAGCTCTTTTCTAGCCATTGGCTTCTTCCAAAGTGACTTCATTCCCTTTGACGCAACCTAATAGAATAGGAAAGCCTATGGCTCTTCAAATTCTGCTGAATTCCAATTCCTATTAACCTGGTCCTGGGTAAAATATCATGGAATGATCCAGGACGTAGATGAGTTAGTAATGTCTAACATGTGGTGATTTGGGGTATTTTTTTTTCTTACAGGAACAAGTTCCAGGAGGATGCAGAGCTGGTCTCTGTCCACTGGAGGACTTCCTGAGTGCTCTTTCAAACTATAGTGTGAAGCCTGAGGAATACAAAATGCTTTGTTCCCAGACAGACACTTTTAACAGATGACTGATTAAGAAGAATGCTTAAATATGTTGTTATAACTTCCTCTTTCTAAACCCCATAAAAGCAAAGCATTAGTCACTCATGGTTTAACTTGACAGTTCACATGTCATTGCAATTAGCCTGCCTCAGTAATGCCCCATTTTGGAAACAAGCATCAGAATGAAAATATATGCCACATACATCTCTGGCTGCAACATGAATTGGAAGTGGTTAACCAGACTGTACCACAATTCTCTTCGCACAATAAGCACTAGATTTATAGGATAGCCTACAACCTGCCACTTATTTTGGTTTTTCATTTCCACTTTATACTGACAAGAATGACCTTCAGCAATTTTAAATCTTAACAGATATCAATTTCTCACATATCCTGATTAATATTTATCACATTGATATGGGAAATTAACACATTCCCATCACTTTTTAAATACATATAGGACCAAGCACTCTTCCACAAGTTAAGGCTGAGGTTACAGCAGCTCAGAGAGCCTGGATAGATATAACCAGATGCAAACAGGTTAAAAGAATGGCTGTGGACAGCGTCAAAACCAGATTTCAGATAGTATTAAAAAGCCAAAGCTGCTAAGAGTCAAAGACATGAATGTCATAGGGGATTCCAAATGGTTGCTACCTGTTGCAACATGAGTTAAGTTGAGCAGACTTAGCTTATTGATGTTTTGAAAGCACTGCATAGCACTAGATGGGGGACTTGAAGAAAAAGCCAATTTTAATTTGCTGGAAGTTTAGGTCTGGAAACAATGGGAAGTGTTGAACGATGCTAATCTAGAGGAAGTGATTGTCACTGCTCTTCAGTTTTTCCTCAGCTGCATATAAACAGAAGTTGGATCCAAAACCAGATACAATAATGACTGTAACAGAAGTTTAATTATGATTTCTCCCAGAGAATGGAAGCTACGCATAGATTGATTGGAACAAAATGTTAGTAAAGTTTTGAAATTCCTAGCAAATGAGGATTTTCAGCCTCAATTCTCTCCTTGTGGATAAAAACCCTTAAGTTATCAGGTATAAATATCTTATGGCATTCAAGTTCCAGCTATAGAAAGATAGCATCTAGAACAGTGGTTCTCAACCTGTGAGTCCCCAGGTGTTTTGGTCTACGACTCTCAGAAATCCCAGCCAGTTTACCAGCTTATAGGATTTCTGGGAGTTGGAGGCCAAAACATTCGGGAACTCACCGGTTGAGAACCACTGATCTAGGAGATTTTGGTTGCTTTAGGAGTGATTGTTACTCTAGAACACAATTTAATGTCATTAAACTTCAAGGATCTGTATATAAAGTCCCTTAGCTCTTCCTTATACGCCTCACCAATTTTCCCCACAATCTGGTTGCATTGGGGAACAAGACTGCTAAGACTATTGTAAAAATGCTGCAACCTGTGAAGATTGCAGTGTGACAAGGCAAATATTTTCCCCACCCTATGCACCCATGAGTGGGAATGAGACTGTGCTAGCCCTGTCTTTTGTACACTGAGCAAATCTGACATACAATTCAGAGCAAATAATAAATTGTGCAAGTAATACAATTTATGGTAGATCAAGTTGTGTTACGGCCAAAAAGGTGTCTTCATCAGGCTTGCAATGTAAACTTTACTCAGTATTTTGAAACAAATTGAGAAGTAACTTTACCAACCACAAGAGGCAAGCTCAGAAAAAAAACAAATGACATCATTAGAGGAGAAAAAATGGTTCAGGGTTTGTTTTTTGTAAGAAACAATATATTTTATTTTTCTGACACCACAGCCCTGGCAAGTGGTTTTGTACCAAATTTAATGGAGGTTACACAGAACGTTTTACGCTGGGGAACAAAAAAAAATAGCCACAAAAAAGTCAGAATAACTTTTAGTGTCTGATCCACTCCCACATTAATAAAGTCACTTGGGGGGGGGGGGCAGGGTTTCTAAGAAAAGGGATATAAGAAACAGTAAGACTACTGTAGAATGTAACAGTGTCCAAGTCCAGCCTCTTCCTGAAAGTGGCATCACTCCCAGCATGAGAAGGGGCTCTCCTAGATATGCTCCCCAAAATAATACAATGTATTGCAGCTGCCAGAGGAGACAACAGTAAAGGGGTGGGAAGGACCAAGAGGCTTTTTTTTTTTTAGAAGTGGGAGGGAGCGACAAAAAGGTGCTGGATAGCACTCCATAATTTGAAAAATATGTCCTTAACTTATTTTTTTTAAAAGATTCCCCCTCACTGAACTTAAGTTCCTTTTGTGCTTTTCATTAATACTCTGCTCTGAGGTCGTAGTTTGGTTTTTCTATACATTGGAGTTGAAGGAAAATAGTCCAAAGTTCTGAAGATGGATTTTCCACCTAAAAGTAAACAGCCTCTCACCCCAAAGACTAAAGTCTCTGCTAAAATCCCTTTTACAATATAGTACAGTACACAAAAATAACCCCCCAAAATAACTGAGAGTCCTGGGAGAAGTCAGTCCAAAGGACGTAAACATACAGAGAATGGTGCAACTTGTGACAAATGGCAATTCTCAAAATACAGCTACAGATTCTCAAAGCAGGTGCCATCACAGGATACCCAAGTACACAAAAATAATTTTTAAAAAATAAATCTTAAAAAAACAACCTGTTAAAATGAATTCATTTGTTTTCAGGTAATTCCATACATTCGAGATTTCCCAAAGCATCCTCTGGTCCGTTTTCACCTATTGCATGGCCAAACTGTGCTCCTGGAGCTTGCAGGACCTGGAATCTCATCTCAACAAGGATTAGAACCATCCAGTCTTTATGTAGCAGCTTAAAACATCATGTTCCCTGGGTTTCCAGGGCCTTGGCTAAATCCTCCCATGCCTACGTCACCAGCCATGCCCCGGGGTCTCATCTGTGGAGGAATCATGATGTTCTGTTGGGGTCCTATCATGCCCTGCATTGACATCATCATGCCAGGAGAACCCACAGGTCCTGGGTGGCTATAGAGCCCAGCAGGAGCTCGGTCCTTGCCTGGAATCATGCCTACTGGGTTGCTCATAAGAGTGGGTTGGCCAGGCATTCCTGTTTGTGCTGGTGACATCATCCGATGATGAGGTCCCATCATGCCTTGTTGCAGAAAGGCAGGTGGTCTCATTACGTTATGGCCTGGCATGGAGGATGCTGTTCCGAGAGGGATATCTGGCGTGCCCACTGGCCCTGGGCCTCCCATACCAGGTAATGCCAGCCCCATTCTTGGATTCTGGTCTCCCATCATCCCCTGCATGTGAGAAAAGCCAGGCCCAACACCCTGGGGTTGCTTGCGGCCCGACACTTCCCCACGAGGGAAATACTGTAGTGTCTGGCTGGGCTTCTCAGATGGAATAATCCTGGATAGGTCAAATTCTGGTATTCCAGTGGCTCCAGGGCGAATCACTTCCTGCAGATCCGGATCAGTAAAAACTGAAGGCATGTTATTTCCTAGGACAGTGAAAGCGTCTGGTCCCACAGGACCTCCTGGCTTGCAAAGTGCTGGATCTGCTGAACTTTGGGGCATGTTGGTGGGACGCCCCAGAGGTCCTTCACCATGGAAGCTCATTCCAGCTGGAAAGCTGCCTGGTCCTCCACTAGGTCCATTGTGTGGAAATGGCACCTGCTGGGGAGGTGACTGTACTGGAGGGAAGCCCTGCGGGAAGCCCAGGCGTCCTTGAGGTACCATTGGCGGCTCTTGGGAACCATGACCCATCATTGGATTATGTGACATGAGGCCAGGTCCCACAGAGACCCCATGAGGAGGTATACTGGGCCCCATAGCATTTGGAGAGGGCATCTGGTTAGTGTGAGTTAGAGGCTGAGTCATTCCCATTGGGCTAAGAGTTGGCATCGGGCCCGACTGGTTAGGCCCCGAAAGACGAGGATTCTGGGAATTAATGCCTAGAGAGTGAAAAATAAAAGTAGATCAAAGTAAGTTAAGAGAAAACAACTTAATATTTTGAAATTTTACTGAAAATCCTCTTTCTCCAAACATTTATGGTATCTATAGTCCTCATTATTGCATTCTATTTCATCTCTCTTCATAAATTAATCTTCCAGAGTATTTGGCCTTATGGACTCTTTATTTTCCACTTACAATAAAGTCCTCTTTAAGTGTTGGACATAAGAGTAAAAGGAACACATGAAGTGAGTGTGCCAGCTCCATGTCCCTCAGGCCTAGCAGAAAAAGATAGAAATTTATAGTAGAGAGCCTCCTCTGCCCACAGAGATTGTCCACTGAAGTCTGAGCCAGTTTCCATACTCAAAGGGTACTTACATAATTTTTCACATGAACAGAGACATTACAGAAAGGGTGGGGCTAATTCACTTATTTTGTGTATTGATTTGCACTCTTATGCTAACCGCAGAAATAGGACTAAACACATAATCAACTCAAATAAAAGGATTTTTTTCAGTTGTTGACTTCCTTGTTACACTGTAAAGTGGGCAACCTAGGATTTTTCAGATATTACTAAACAAAATACCTCAACCACTCTAAACTATACAATGAAAGTGAGAAATGAATTGTAGCCACACAACTTCTAATTACACATTCTTGCTGTAAGAATTTAAAGACAACAACCTAGGGTGCTGACGGTTCATTAAGACCAAGCCTTTTGTCCCAAATATATTCTTAGAACTTTCTTAGCTCTGTGCATGCCCAGAAGCATTCGTCAAAGATCAGAAAGGATATTATCAGTATCTTCCTAAAAAGTATGAAAAACATCAATGTAGTCTGGCAGTAGAAGACATTCAGTAATGCTCTAATAAGAAAAAAAAATGGATGTTCCAAGGAGGTACCATTAATGAGGCAAAGAATAGCCTCAGGAGTAGAGAATCCAATGCAGAAATAAGTAAGATTAGTAGGAATCCAGCCTAACGTCAACCACAACTTCCCTGCTGGAGGACTTTGTCATCCTCGTTTCCAACTTGCTTACTGAAGAAAAACGGATGCCTTTGCAAAACAAAAATTGTACCATCTACCACAAGGGTAAGTAACATGGGGTCCTCTACTGCTAGATGTACTACAGCCCTCACCATCTCTCACTAGTGCCCGTCTAGGGCTGATGGGAGCTGTAGCCCACAAGCTCCCCACTCCTGATAAGTCTGACTATCCCAGAGTTTCAATCAAGAACAGACACTTCTAAGTCAACCTGAGGACCAGATCTCTGGAAGACGAGGCCTCACCATTCGCGTCAGCTTGACACTACTCAATACTAGTTTAAACTTCACTTAACCTAAAATGAAATCACTACCTGCTCACTTTTTGCAAAACATGTCTGGGAGCTATGAGTACACGAATGACCTGTCTACTGTAGTAACACAATGAACACCAGAATGATTCTTAAATAGAAAATTAGTTCATATCTATTCATGTAAACTTCTCATGAAAGGAATCTCCACTCTTTTACCCTATCCAATGAAAACAAATATTAGCTCCAAAATTGGGAAGTCACAATACTCAGTATGGAAAATACACAGAAGTTCTGGTGATGGAAAGGTCAGATGGAATTTGAAAGAAGGGAGGATGACATACTAATTTCTGGAATTATTTAATGCAATGTATCTCAAACTTTGGCCCTCTGGGTGTTCCTAGAAATCTTGATCACTGGTCAAAGCAGGTGAGGCTTATGGGAGTTGAAATCCAAAACCCCTAGAGGACAAGAGTTTGAGAATTGCTGCTTTACAGGAAAAATCTCTTGCTAGACATAACATTCATTTACACTGATGTAAACTTTACATTCAGCACCATGAACTCTTGTGATGCCTCAACTGCAACAGGGATAGTGAACATGTTTCCATAAATTACACAGGCAATTACTATTTTTCTTAACATCTTCCTCTTCTGACACAGATAGCATGAAGTTCTGTATTAAGTGCAGCAACCAGAGGGGATTTGTTTCTTACCTGAAAGATTGTTCATTGGCGGCAAATTTGGGGAACGTGCTGGGGGGGAGTCATCATCTGAGGAGGCTACTGTCTTGATAGCATCATGGTAGAGCGGTGTAGAGCTAGGCATTGCGAACTTGGACATCCGGGACATCATGATGGAGAGAGGGTTTTGAGACAAGGTGGGCTCTGGGGGCATTGTGTACGGACTGCTTGAAGGAAGGTTTCCAGGAAGAGTCACAGGAGCAGCCTGGCTAACCGTTGAAGGGGGTGGGCCTCCTTTAAAAAAAAGTGCAAGTTCACTCATTGTCAATACTTATGTTTTATCTTATGTTTTACCCCCAGGGAACTCCTCTACAGGTTTTGGTGCTCTAGACATGATGCCAATATGTTCATAAGAAGCTACTCTGTACACGGTCAAAACATTTGTTTGTCTAATCTTGTTTATCATCTACTCTGACTTGCTGAAGTTCTCTTCAGGCAGTTCTGAAAATGACAGGAGATGAATCTTGGACTTTCAAAACACCTAATCCTTCACCATGCAAAATTACTTTTTGGGCTATAATGGCCAGAATCCCTAGCCTGTATGAGTAATTCTACATTTCAAAAAGTAACTTCCACAAGTTTCAGCACACACATACATCCTAGACATCTGACAGATCAAGAAAGCTTCAAGATCA